CAGATCAATGCACAATATACAAACATATGTTTTAAGAGAATATTCATAAAAAAAACAACGCAAGATACAGCATCTGTCGTAAAAAATATTGTATCTTTTTTTAAAACGTTTCAGACATGAGGTTTGAATTGTAATCCACAAATTTGTAGAATAAATCTCTATGATTTTAACAATCAATAATCCTAACTACACTCACTGTCATATTTATTTAGGAAACCAAATTTTTAGTGGTGTTATTTAAGTACGCTTCAAGTAATTAACAATTATTTAATTACGAGGGATCATTATTAGTTTTAGTAAGGTTAAAAGTTAAGAATGTAATAGGCTAATCAATTAACACAATTTTGTAGAGCTAAAATCATCATAAATTATAAAATTTTTTATATATAAAATTTTTGCACATTTTATTACTAAAATTGTATTATAATATATATGATGTGCAACTAATGCAAGTTACCAAATTTGATGATCAAAATAACTCTAAAATATAAAATGTTTATGTTTTTAAAAATAGTTTTCAAATCATTAAAATAACAGCAATAAATTTTTGCATGAATTTCAAATAGAGTAAAGATATAGAGTAATCACTAATAGATAATTACTAATAAAAATTTGGTTTAATATATCATTAATAGCCATTCATTGTCATTCTTTAGGCCATTGCATATATTAAGTAATTCAAATATGTATAGAAAAGTAATTGTTTCGGGTTAGTTAAATGTATCTACTATATTTTGACATATTGAAATGCACTTGCAATAATAGATATAAAAATTTTGTATTTTGTCAAAAAATTTTCATGACTTAATGATTAAATTAAAATTGACAATCTATAATAATAGACAAAATTAACATATAAAAATGTATTACAAATCAATCTTGTAATAAAACTGCATACCAACATCAAATGCAGATACAGTAAGTGCTCAATTATATGAGCTAATTTACATAGAGGTTGTTTACATAATCGAAATGTTCAGTAAATTTTTTTAGGTTTTTTTTTAATGTGATTGATAAAGAAATTTTTAGTAACTTAATCTTCAAATAATAACTATGAAAGGTTATCGGTCTCAAGCATTGTATTTTTTTCGAAAATCATTTTATGCACAATTTGTTCTCGAAGTTCGAAAGTTTCTCGAAAGCAATAAGTTTCAAATATGGAGATTGTCTACTTCACAAGTGCTTGTTTGTTAAAAGTAGCCAAAACTTTTGTTGAACTAACAGTTCGTACAAATTGGTGTTCACTAGTATCTTTGTCGTCACTATCATCAGTAACATTATCTCTAACTTTCATAGCATCCATTTTATTCGTTTCTATGTTATCTATACATAACCTTCACTACCGAATATTGGAAATCAGTAAATAAACCATTAACTTCATCTACTAATGATTTAGATCAGACTGTCCAAAGCACGGCCCAAGGGATAGATGCGGTTAGTGGGTAATATACATGCGGCCCGCGACATTTTTCTAATCTACCCCAATGAACGTTAGTTTCATTCTCAAGCCTTATACCCACGTTTCATTGTTAGTTGAAACACTTTTGAGCCTGTTTGTAACTCTAACAATGCCCTTAAACAGGCGGTAGTTTGGTTTCGGTCTTCGCTGAAATTGGATTAGTTTCGAAACTAATTTTCTTATATATAGTTTTATTATAAACACTTTGTAAAAGTCGTAGCTATGAGCCACAACACAGTTATCTTTATGGTAGCAATTCCTGTTTTAGCAAGTATGATCTGTTTAATTTTTTTTTTCTGTCATACCTTCGTGAGAGCTTCTATACCATTTATAAACTAAAATATCTAAAATACATTTAAGCGAAACACTGCACTAGCTTCTTGTCAGCGTTTGATCCTCTAAATATATGAGACCTACGACTAGTATGATCTACATTATTGTTAACCTTATAGACTAATATGCTCAACATGCTACTGAAGCCGCATTCATACAAATAATTATAAAAGAAAAATTATTACTCTTTATGCTCAATTGTTTTCCTGTCCCAAATATAAGTAAATTACATCGAGTTGGACTCAACAAAAAAAACTGCAGAAATCCTTCAAAAGCCTTTGTCTATGCAACTCAAAGTAGCACTTCTACCAAAACCAAATTCTAATAGACTACTCAACTTACATAACATAATAAAATTATTAATATTACTTAAATTAGCTAATTATTGTAATCAACGTTTTGTATTCGATCAAAACCATTGAGATGTTATGAGGGTATCATATGGTTATTTTTCTCTATGTAGAATAGATATGGTGAAAATCATGAAAATATATTTTGGTTATATTTAACTTGCACATAATAACCCACTGAGATAAAACTTCAAAGCTCATACACTTGCTAGAAAAATACCAAAGGCCAACATATCCAACAATCCCACATACAATCCTAACTGATCAATCTGTTATAATGAATTATTTAGAAAACCCGATAATAAAACATACTTTCATCCTCTAACTTAGTATTCATTCTTAGTACTTAATAAGAAATTACATACTGTAGAATATGTATATGTATAGTTCCTCAAATTTAAAGAAGTTTAATTACAGCAAAATATTAATCTGTTTATTTTTACTTATTTTAGCACTTATTATAAAATCAATCATTTTGGATTGCATTTCACTCAAAACAACCATTTTTTCACAGTGAACCCTCTGATTATATAAAAAATATATGTATCAAGGCGACTTGTAGTTATTAAGTAACTGAAACTCATCGTTCTTGCTAGCTCAATTTAACTCATTATATTTAAAATAAACCTTTATACAAACAACCTTTATACGTCTGCATTCATCCATAACCAAATATGAATTATAAAAAAAAAGTATATAAATAAATTAATATTATACATAGAACATAAGAGTTGATTGACAAATGCTTGATAATAACTAAAAATATATTTCCTTGATATACACGTAATAAATATTTACGTATCCTAATATGTTTCGAAGAGATTATTCATAAAAATGTGTGCTGTGCTATTTTTACACTATAGGTACTATGCATTTAGAATGAAATAATTTTATCATAATTTTTGCAAATAGATACGTTAAAATTTGAGGCTCTGAAGGCTGCAAGATATACGATAAAATCAATGTGCTTATAACGATCACAACTTATTGTTAAGCTTCGTGATGTAGAACGCCTTTTGCGCCTTGTACAACAAAGGCAAGATCAAATCATCAACATCATCATCATCATCATCATACTTAACAAATTTGGCCTGTGGGTTGCAACACGCCAGCCGCAGTGCTCGTATCTACAAAGGAATCAAGATTTTCTATATGGTAAATTTTGTAAAGCAAAGGCAATAAACGTAAGCATTGTTTCAAAGAGGAGGAAGCCAAGATTATAATAAGAATGGTGCCGACATGTCTGGCGTTAGTGTGTATTTTAAAAATTTTGCGCAGGTACTAGAAGGCATGTACGTATATTAAAACGGACTTTAACATATGGAATAAATACAATGTTTTATGCTTCAATACTAGTATATGTAAATATTAATAAATAAAATAAAAATTATGCAAGTATTGCTCTTTTATGATTGTCAACTAATGATCAATATGAGTAAAGTCTTTACAAGTTTTTATTACCTGAAAGTTAAATTTATTTTTCCAAAGTTAAATTGAAAATCTTAAGGTAACTCATTTATATAATAGACCACACCTGCATGCATCAAATCTATAACAGTTTATAAAAATAAACAAATGAAACAAATATATAAAGAATATCTAGCCAAAGCAAACGTGACGTAATACAGCATACAACGAACCGCAGAAAACGTCAGTTCAACTGTCAACTAATTAATTAAAATTCAATTGAATTTGTTAACCAGCTCGAAATCTAAACATGCTCCAAATTGAAACGGGCTTGTCAGTGAACAAGATAAGCTGTCACACTTTTAACAAAAGCAACAATAACAACAATAATAAGGAACCAGCTACAACTTTGGTAGCCAACAGAAAACCACAAAGGTAAACATGCTCAGCAACACTGAAAATAAATCAAAATCAAATCATTTTTATGACACTTTCAATAAAAGTACCCGCCAGGGCCCAACAGAAGCTACACCGCCATCATTGACTATTGTGGCACCATTGCGCAGCACGGCAAAGTGTTGCATACCGCTGGACAAATGTCAGTCAAATCGCAATTACATGTACGAGTGCGAAGCCTCGTGTAGATACATGGAATTGAGAGAGGGAAAGAAATCAATTGAACAGAGTATTAAACCTTCTTGTACATAAACGCCGTATTGGCCTGGGGTTAGGTGCCAGTTATGCCACCTTTAAGACTTAAGACTGTTGGAATTTACAAAACATGAGACAGAAAAATACCAAAAATAAAAATAAATTTAAAAAATTATTTTAAAAAAATGCGTATACAAGCGCTTACGCTACTCTTTTAAGATTAAACTCAGACATGTTCGGACTCGTTTAATGAAAACTGACAGTCTTTTTTCAATTTACAAATTATCGGTGCTCTGCAAAGTTTGAATTCCTTAAGCCCTAATGAAATACATAGAGCATAAAAATTCTTATATTTAACATTTTTTATGCAACATTAGAAGATTTGTACAATTCTTCTTAAAGTATATAAAAAATATATAAAATATCTAAAGATTCTCTAAATAAATAAATAAAAGTCACTATATATCGCGCTTTTGCCAAAATGATGTAAATAATTAAATTACACCAAACATAAGATAAACAATCCAATCTAATATATCCGTTCAGTCGTATGTAAAATGCAACTAGAGTATAATAGATTTGCTAAGATATTTGC